AAAAATTTGAATTTTGAAAATTTTAAAAATTTTAATAACTCCGCAACCACTAACCTTAAAATTATGATTGATACGGCGTTGAACTCGCCGTTTAGTGCCGCGTCGAATGAGCCGCCTCGAGCTGCCCTCGGGCCACTGGATCCAGGACCACGTGTCCACGTGGTTCCCGGTTTTTCTTTAATAACTCCGCGAGTTTTCACCGGAAAAATCCGGCCGAGGTGTCACAAGAAAGAGCTCAGCGAGCCCCCGTCTGCAGATATAAAAATATCCAGGGGTCACAGATCGCGTTTAGGCAGCGTTCACGCTCAAAGTTTTTAAAAAATTAAAAATTTGCACTTTGCACTGTTTTTCTTCACACTTAACGCGCTCGGCGCGAAAAAACAGAAACTGTCACTAGCTGGGGCAACTATTACCGCAACTTTTGGTGCATAAATTGTAAAAATCGGAGCACAAAAAACCACTTTTTTCGATTTTTGAAACACAAAATCGGGCGGAGCGGCACTCGACCAACATGTAGCACGTCCACCTCAAAGTGCGTCTGACGACGGAAGGGGGGTTAGGTTAGGTTAGGTTAGGTGAGGTTAGGTTAGGTTAGGTTAGGTTAGGTTAGGTTAGGTTAGGTTAGGTTAGATAAGAGGCCGGATCGCCTCGCTATCGTCGAGGCGATCCGGCCAGTACTCGACGACTGGCTCGGGAGAAGGCACGGCTCCCTGTCGTTTAGGGTGATGCAGGTGCTGTCGGGGCACGGCTGCTTTGGCAAGTACCTGTGCCGCATAGACAGGGAGCCGGACGCTCGGTGCCACCACTGCGTCCATTGCGGGGAGGACAAGGCGCAACACACGCTCGCCGAGTGTGTAGCTTGGGAGGAGCAGCGCCGTGTCCTCACAAATGTAGTAGGAGGCGATTTGTCGCTGTCGGCCTTGGTGCGGAGTATGGTCGGTAGCGCAGAATCGTGGGATGCAGTGGTGTCCTTCTGTGAGGACGTGATGTCGCAGAAGGAAACTGCGGAACGGGAGAGGGAGATCTCGACTCCCCTTCCCTGGCCGCAGAAGGCGCACCGGGCGCAGGAGAAGGGCGGACAACGCCCTTTTCCAGCCCCCATGAATAAGTCCAGGGGCGAGGGACTAGGGGGAAGCCCCCGCCCCCTATTCGATGGACCCGAGGCGGAGGCACGCGTGGGTGTCGGCGCGTGCCTCTGAGGTGATACAGGGGGTAGTTGAACACCTCACTACCCCGTGCAGGAGACGAGGCCCGTACAGACCGGGCCAGCACTAGTGTGGGGCTGCGGAAGAATTTGGATTCCCGCGGCCCCGCGCGTGCACGTGCGAGGAGACACCGGGGTGGTTTTAGCCGGTAAGAGTCCGGCACACCCCTCCGCCTGTCCCCAGGCAGAGGCAGTCCATGAGGATTTCCCCCCCGTAAAAAAAAAAAAAGGTTAGGTTAGGTTAGGTTAGGTTAGGTTAGGTTAGGTTAGGTTAGGTTAGGTTAGGTTAGGTTAGGTTAGGTTAGGTTAGGTTAGGTTAGGTTAGGTTAGGTTAGGTTAGGTTAGGTTAGGTTAGGTTAGGTTAGGTTAGGTTAGGTTAGGTTAGGTTCGGGGCCCGGATAGCTGTCGAGTCCACCATGAAGTACCTGGGATTGGTGCTCGACAGCCGATGGGAATTTGGGCCCCACTTCCGGCGGCTGGCGCCCAAGCTGATGCGTGCAGCTGGCGCACTTTCAACGCTGCTTCCCAACTTGGGGGGCCCGAGCGCTGCCTGTAGGCGGTTGTACGTGGGAATCGTGCGGTCCATGGCCCTGTATGGGGCCCCTGTATGGGCGATGGACATGACGGCCAGCACTCTCGCCATTCTGCGCAAACCGCAGAGGGCGATGGCCGTCAGAGTCACCCGCGGGTATCGCACGATTTCCTACGAGGCGGCTTGCGTCCTGGCCGGATCCCCGCCCTGGGACCTAGAGGCGAAAGTACTCGCGTCACTATATCGATGGCGCGAGGAAGAGAGGGGACGGGGCTCGAGGCCGGTGCAGCGACAGATCGCGCTGCGCCGAGAGGAGCTCCGTCAGGTCTTGGTGGCGGAATGGCGGCAAAGGCTTCTGCGCCCTACCGCCGGCCTCGCTATCGTCGAGGCGATCCGGCCAGTACTCGACGACTGGCTCGGGAGAAGGCACGGCTCCCTGTCGTTTAGGGTGACGCAGGTGCTGTCGGGGCACGGCTGCTTCGGCAAGTACCTGTGCCGCATAGACAGGGAGCCGGACGCTCGGTGCCACCACTGCGTCCTTTGCGGGGAGGACACGGCGCAACACACGCTCGCCGAGTGTGTAGCTTGGGAGGAGCAGCGCCGTGTCCTCACAAATGTAGTAGGAGGCGATTTGTCGCTGTCGGCCTTGGTGCGGAGTATGGTCGGTAGCGCAGAATCGTGGGATGCAGTGGTGTCCTTCTGTGAGGACGTGATGTCGCAGAAGGAAACTGCGGAACGGGAGAGGGAGATCTCGACTCCCTTCCCTGGCCGCAGAAGGCGCACCGGGCGCAGGAGAAGGGCGGACAACGCCCTTTTCCGGCCCCCATGAATAAGTCCAGGGGCGAGGGACTAGGGGAAGCCCCCGCCCCCCTATTCGATGGACCCGAGGCGGAGGCACGCGTGGGTGTCGGCGCGTGCCTCTGAGGTGATACAGGGGGTAGTTAAACACCTCACTACACCGTGCAGGAGACGAGGCCCGTACAGACCGGGCCAGCACTAGTGTGGGGCTGCGGAAGAATTTGGATTCCCGCGGCCCCGCGCGTGCACGTGCGAGGAGACACCGGGGTGGTTTTAGCCGGTAAGAGTCCGGCACACCCCTCCGCCTGTCCCCAGGCAGAGGCAGTCCATGAGGATTTCCCCACCGTAAAAAAAAAAAAAAAAAAGGTCAGGTTAGGTTAGGTTAGGTTAGGTTAGGTTAGGTTAGGTTAGGTTAGGTTAGGTTTTTTTTTTCCCTCCTTCTTCTTTTCCATGAGGAATTGCTATCGGTATACAATTCCTTATGGTTGCGAAATTTTTGTTTAAAATGATGGGTTCTATTTGATCCACATTTTGCTTTGATTTCTGTTAATATTTACTTTTGATAACTTTCAACAATGGTTTTCATAATATATTTTAATAATGTTACCTAAAATATTTTACGATAAGAATTTGATTTATGTTTTATGCAAGACAATTGGAACATTAATTTGTTTAATACTAAACATAAATATACATATTCATACATAATTATATATAAATATTTATAATTAATAAATATTTAATATTTATAGACTACCTTAATAGAATTAATAGAATTAAAATTACTATTTACATAGGGTATCTTATTATTATACGTTTATTCCAATTTTTCTTGAATTTACTTATGAGACATATAATGTTCAATTATTTTAATTTACTACTGCTGTATTGTTGTTGAAGTTTTTTAGTTGACTTATAATGTAATTGACGTGGGTTTTAAAAGTTTGTATAGTAGTTTCTTTGGAAATTATTTCTGATAAATTATATGGTTCTATCTTTAACAAAGTGCACGCAATTTCATGTTCCATTCTTGTTCTAAGAAATGCAGGGCAGTTTCTTATAAGATGGGTCATGGATTGTACACTAGTTTGATCGCATGGGCATTTATTATCATTGGTTATTTTAAAACGATGAAGATATTCCTTGTGATATCCATGATTGCTAAGATACTGAGTTATAGCAAAATTAGGTGCCAGTGCTTTAACAGTTAGGGTGAGTTGCTCATAAGTAGGACATAGAGATTTGGTATATATGCCTTTGTCACTTTCAAAGTAAAAGTTTTCTGTTCCTTTAATGGCTTGTTGTCGATTTAAATATTTTACATGGCTTATTGGGAATTTGAGAAATTCATAAGATCGGTGGGAGGTTGCCGCGCTTTTGGCAGCTGCATCCGCTTCTTCATTGCCTGAAATTCCGATGTGACCTTTAATCCAGCAAAGACTGACTTTTAAATTGAGTGATTCAATTCGTTGTATTATCCTATGAATCGATACTACGAGGGAGTTGTAACTGTTTTCGTTTGCAATTTCTTGGAGACCTGATTTGCTGTCGGAGAAAATATATGTTGGATTGATTTTGTGTTCTATAATCCATTCCCAGGCTTTAGAAATGGCCAGGAGTTCGGCTTGAAAGACTGAACACGAGTCGTGTAATTTGTATTTGCGTATTAGTTTTTCTCCGTTCGGTTTGTGTATCACAAATGCAGCGTCCACTTTATTGCTGTGCTTGCTACCATCGGTGTAAATACGATAGGAATTTATAATATTTTCTGTCGGTATTTGTTCTTCAGTAAATTTAATAGGTTTTCGCAAAGAGGGATGTAATAAATTTCCTGGTTTAGCAGGGACGTCTAGAGTAACATCAGAAGGTAGGTACTGTGAAACTTGTGTGATTCTTGTGCGCTCATTATCTGCTATTTCCTTTATTTTTATTGGGAGTGGGCATAGTTGAGCGATTGATATGCAAGCGACTGTACTCACGGTTCTAAAGCCACGGATAATTCTAAGGGCAAAATTGCGTTGCAAAGAGAGTAGTTTCTCTGTCACACATTTGTACCCGATTGCTGATTGCCAGATAGAAGAAGCATAACAGACTATTGGCTCAATCACATGTTTATAGATAATTTCTATATTCTCGGAGTGAATGCCCCAAGTTGGTTTGACGAACGTTATTAACCTAGTGTACAATTTACGGACTTTGTTGACGATGAAATCTACATGTTTTATGAATTTGAGCTTTTTGTCTATTAAAACGCCTAAAAGCTTAATCTCGTTAGAAAAATTCAGGATATGACCAGACATATAGAGCTTGCACCTCGCTGCCTTGCAAGTAAATGCGATGGCCTGTGTTTTGGCAACTCCAAAAGTAAGTTTCATTTCCAGACCCCATTTAGTGATTATACTCAAAGCATTATTTGCGTTAAGCTGTAAATTATTACTATCTTTGGCGCGCACAAGAAGAAATATGTCATCCGCAAATGCTTGTATTGTAGCTCCAGGTGGCATATCCATATCGAGAAGTTCGTCCACAATTAAATTCCATAGGAAAGGGCCACAAAAGAGCTTCTTCTTGAAGTGGTGTATCATTTATGTCATCATCGGGAAAAAACTTATTAAGAAGAGCTTGGGCGGTTTCGAGGCTAGAGTTGGTGTATGTACCATCGCATTTCTTTAGTGTGGCTGGTGGCAGCGGAGGTGGGTTTGATTTGATTATTCTATTTGTAACGGACCACACATCCTCCTTCCCTTGCCTTTCACAAAAGTCTCTGAAATTTCGCGTGGAAGTTTCTCTAAAGGTTTTTGAATAAGCAGTTTTTAAGCGTTCTTTTTCCAAAAGGGCGTCCTTAAGTGGTTTATTTTGTCGGCGAAGTTTTTGTATGTTATGATGGTTGCGTATTACTTGTTTTTTGAGACTTTCAAGTTCGTCTGTCCACCAAGGGCAGCGGTATTTTCGACCAGTTGACCTTGGGAGCAGCTCATCACATGTTCTTTGAATTGCCGATGTAACTGAAATTATGTAATCTTCCAGTTCATTTGCCTGCATCTGTTCAACTGTAACATTTTGGGGTACATATTCCATAATTTTAGTTTCAAAGAAAGGTCTTAGTTCCTCCCATTTTATGTTATTCGTATTGTATCTAAACGTACTGGTTGTTTTGTTGGTTTTTCTTCTTTCACCACGAGTTGCGACTGAAAATATTACTGCCCTGTGTTCAGAAGATGGACAGATTAAAGGATCAACTTTCCAGTCCCCAATCCGGTCATAAATAGAGCTAGAGGCAAGGGTAAGATCAATATAAAAACTACGCACTTGTCCATATGAAACTGTCTCAAAAGTAGGAGTATGGCCTATATTACAGAAAAACATGTCATTGCCATAGGCAATGTCAACAACTTCGTTTCCCCGCGAATTTGCTCGGTCGCTACCCCAGATAGGGTGCCAACCGTTAAAATCACCGCCAATCAACTGATGGCAGTTACTGGTCATTTTTAAAAAGTTTTCTACCCTTTGCAATGTATTGTTTTCATCACTATTAGGCTCGATATAGACGGATGCTATGTACAGTTTACTGCCCTCAATATTCAATAGAACTGCGCTGAAATTAGCCGATGAAAATTGGGATAGACCTATTACGGAATCACAGCTAGATTTTGTCATTATGCACGCTTTGACCCTGTTACCATTGGGGAACTGAAATATGTTGATACCAGGGATGGGTTTAACAATATTGCCAGATCCCACATAGGGCTCTGACACCAGTGCAATTTGGAAATGGCCGGCTATAAAAGAAAGAACAAATTCATGTTGACTTTTCTTGGATTTATCTAAGTTACACTGTAGTACTTTGAGTTTATTTACTTGATCCATAGTCAATTCGGTTTATGATTCTTTCTTTCATGGCTCGCAGTCTGGGGCAATAAGTGGATGTAGCCTTATGTTTGGTATCAAGTTTTGTGCTAAATTTGGTGTTATGTGCGACACAGTTGATACACTGAGCGCAGTCCGGATTGTCTCTTTTAGGACAGTTTTCAGAATTATGTGTGGTTGCGGCACAATGACCGCATGCAGTGTTTTCCGAAATACATTTGTTCTTTGTGTGTCCAAACTGGTAACATTTATGACATTGCATAAATGGTGAAAATTCCTCAACGTGTATACGCTGATGATCGATGGATAATTTACACATGCTGATGATTTTTCTCCAAACTGTGGGTTGAGCCCGAAAAACTGCATTGTATAGGTGAGGGTTTCTGTTACTGCGTTTGAAGCAAAATTTTAAGTCATCCTGTTCTGTAATGGTATCAGATAGTTCAGCATTTTGCATTTTAATAATATCCACTAATTCTTCAGTTGGAGTGTCAACAGAAATTCCCTTGAGGATTATCATGGGTCTAAGTTTTCGTGCAGGTTCAGCTGTAACTACCTTTGAGTTCAATAAACGTGTTAGAGTTTCGTCACGCTGCTGTTCGTTATCGAACTCGACCCTTAATTTATTGTGTGACACTGTTTGAACGAGAGCAAGTGCATATCTGGTGGCACGGAAGCTGATACTTTTGCGCCAAACGTCGATAACTTCCTACTTATTTTTAACTTCTGTTTTTGTGACGATTAACGCTGGTTTGGTTGCGGGGAGGGGAGTAACGTGGTTGTTTATCGTGAGTGATTGATTAGCGCTTGAAGAAACAACTTGAGCATAAGAGGATCGCCCTAGAGAAGGGCTGCTAATTGATTTCTTAAGATGAGTAATTTCTTCACGCACACAAGTGATAATATCATTTTTGAGGTCCTCAGCGGGACTAGACAACGTGGATGTAATATTAGTAAGTACCAAATTGGCTCTCTTTGTTTAGGTTAGGTTAGGTTAGGTTAGGTTAGGTTAGGTTAGGTTAGGTTTTTTTTTTTTTCCTCCTTCTTCTTTTCCATGAGGAATTGCTATCGGTATACAATTCCTTATGGTTGCGAAATTTTTGTTTAAAATGATGGGTTCTATTTGCTCCACATTTTGCTTTGATTTCTGTTAATATTTACTTTTGATAACTTTCATCATTGGTTTTCATAATATATTTTAATAATGTTACCTAAAATATTTTACGATAAGAATTTGATTTATGTTTTATGCAAGACAATTGGAAAATTAATCTGTTTAATACTAAACATAAATACACACATTCATACATAATTATATATAAATATTCATAACTAATAAATATTCAATATTTATAGACCACCTTAACAGAATTAGTAAAATTAAATCCACTATTTACATAGGGTATCTTATTATTATACTTTTATTCCAGTTTTTCTTGAATTTACTTATGAGGCATATAATGTTCAATTATTTTAATTTACTACTGCTGTATTGTTGTTGAAGTTTTTTAGTTGACTTATAATGTAATTGACGTGGGTTTTAAAAGTTTGTATAGTAGTTTCTTTGGAAATTATTTCTGATAAATTATATGGTTCTATCTTTAACATAGTGCACGCAATTTCATGTTCCATTCTTGTTCTAAGAAATGCAGGGCAGTTTCTTATAAGATGTGTCATGGATTGTACACTAGTTTGATCGCATGGGCATTTATTATCATTGGTTATTTTAAAACGATGAAGATATTCCTTGTGATATCCATGATTGCTAAGATACTGAGTTATAGCAAAATTAGGTGCCAGTGCTTTAACAGTTAGGGTGAGTTGCTCATAAGTAGGACATAGAGATTTGGTATATATGCCTTTGTCACTTTCAAAGTAAAAGTTTTCTGTTCCTTTAATGGCTTGTTGTCGATTTAAATATTTTACATGGCTTATTGGGAATTTGAGAAATTCATAAGATCGGTGGGAGGTTGCCGCGCTTTTGGCAGCTGCATCCGCTTCTTCATTGCCTGAAATTCCGATGTGACCTTTAATCCAGCAAAGACTGACTTTTAAATTGAGTGATTCAATTCGTTGTATTATCCTATGAATCGATACTACGAGGGAGTTGTAACTGTTTTCGTTTGCAATTTCTTGGAGACCTGATTTGCTGTCTGAGAAAATATATGTTGGATTGATTTTGTGTTCTATAATCCATTCGCAGGCTTTAGAAATGGCCAGGAGTTCGGTTAGGTTAGGTTAGGTTAGGTTAGGTTAGGTTAGGTTAGGTTAGGTTAGGTTAGGTTAGGTTAGGTTAGGTTAGGTTAGGTTAGGTTAGGTTAGGTTTTTTTTTTTTTTTTTTTTTTTTTTTTTACTTTTCATACTACTACTTTCCTGCAGTACCCTTCTTTCTAGATGTATATTACTGTTTAGTTTTGTACCAAGTTTTTTTTTTTTTTTTTTTGTAGCCGTACCGCTTACAACTGTTTTTTTTTCTTTATTACACTATTTATTTATTGACTATTACTATACTACTTATTATACTATATTACTTATTTAACTGACATATTACTTAATACTTCTTTCTATTACAAAACTCGTTCATTGCACTATTTAGATTTTTACTTAAATTTCTAATGTGTATATAATTAGTACTAATTGTATTGAACTAAGATTGCTTTAAGTATGTATATTTTGCTGTTGTATACATTATTCTTATATTCTAAACATTACATTTTACTAACTTGATAATATATAAGCTTAAAATTTTTTTTTTCCTTTATAGTTTTTTTTTTCCCCTTTCATGTTTTCGTTTTTATTTTCTTCTTTCCCTTTTTTGTACTTATTTCAATTATCTTCTTTTTTTTCTTGTTTTTTTTTTTTTTTTTTAAATATATATATATATATATATATATATATATATTTACATTTTCTATCAATAATATTTAAGATTAAATTACTTAAAGCTTCTTACTCTTACATTTATTTTCTCTTTAAACTTATTATTAATATTTACAGATTGTCATTTATAACTACTTGTATATGCTTATTTAATTTTTTTTTTCCCAACTTGCTACATCTATTATTGCTTACTCTACCATTGTACTACCATTTTCCTTACTTACAATTCTTAATGCGTAAAGAGCAAATGTCATAAAGATAGGTCGGCAAGTGCTATCCTCGATTATAATACTTAAATTACTTTTTGCGATGGTCATTCCCATGCTGCATTCAGCTTCAAATCTTCTTCTACCGAAACGCGGGCAGTCAATGATAATGTGCTCTACAGTTTGGTTTACGTTTTCATCGCATGTGCAGCACGGGGATGATGTCAATTAATACTTATACAAGTAGGCGTTATTGCCTCCGTGACCAGTAAACAGATGTGTGATTAAATTATTCATCTTTATATTTTTTATTACCTTATAAGCTATAACCACGTTGGGAAAAAATGTCTTGGTTGTTGTGCTGGTTGTTGATTCTTCATATTTTCTTTGCCAAATTTGAAGAGTTGTGTTTCTGGTGAGGCGCTTTGCATACGACAGTGGGAATTTATCATATTCAGACCTTTGCTTGCTTTTGGTGGCAGCTCGTTTGGCTAGTTCGTCTGCTCTTTCATTGCCCTGGATTCCACAGTGTGCCTTGATCCAGAACAGTTGAATTTGCTTTTGTTTGTCCTCGATGTTTTTTATCACATCTCGAATTTTATGGGCAATTGGGTTCAAAGAGCTTGGATCGCATATGGTTATAACAGCTGATCTTGAATCGGTAAAAATATTTGCTCCTTGGTAATTTCTGTCGGCCACGTACTTTACTGCTTTTAAAATTGCGATCATCTCTGCTTGAAAAACGCTGCAATAGTTTTCTAATTTAAAGGTAATTGTCTTTACTTCAACTTTATTTTGCCAGATCGTTACTGCTGCACCTACCTTTGTGTCGATTTTACTCCCATCTGTGAAAATTTTTACCCAGTCGTTACTTAATTCGTCGATGTCTTTCTGTTCGCTTATTAAACCAAAACTGCGCTGCGACCTTTCACGTGGATGGGGCAAATCGTAAGGGCTTATCCTCTTTTCTAGTTGTCTTCCGGGTAAGAGCTCGATGGGCTTTCCTTTCTTGATCTCATATATAGTTGCGTTTTCCTTTGCCCTTAATGCTAAGGGTATTATTTGGGACAGAATTGTACTAGAGATTAGGGAGTTGGTTCTATGGCCTTTGCAAATACGTATGCCAAAGATCTGCGTCATTCTATTAAGTATTCGTTCGATATATCTTTTTTCAGTTGTCTCCGCCCAACAACTAGCAGCATATAGTATCGTTGGTTCGACTACCGCTAAATATATGGTTTTTATAATTTCGGAGTTTAAGCCCCAGTGGGCTTTCGCTGCTCTGGAGACCATTTTATAGATATTGGCTGCTTTGCGACAGACACTATCAAGGTGAGGCTTAAAATTTAAGTTTTTGTCGATTGTGAGGCCTAAAACTTTCAATTGGTCTGAAAACTGCAGTATAACTCCTTCAATTTGTAAGAGTGGTCGGTGGTACTTAAGTTTCTTGGTTAGGATTATTGACTGCGTTTTATGTGGGGCAAATTTAAGTTTGTGTTTCTTGCCCCATTCTGTAATTGTTCGTAATGTATCGTTTAAGTCTTCTTCCAATTTTAGGCCATCCTTGTTTGTTGCGACGATCAAGATATCATCGGCAAATGCTTGTACGTGAGTGCCTATATTTTCAGTTGCGCTGAGTAGGGGATCGAGGAGGATGTTCCACAGCATTGGGCCACATGTAGAGCCCTGGATACATCCTTTATTTGTGGGTTTTTTCAATTCCTGTCCAGCATACCTAAGATGTATTTCTCTATCTGTTAAGTAATTACTAATAAGCCTGACCATAGATTTGTCAATATGTTTGAAGTTAAGTTCTTTTATTATAGCAGGCCACCATGCGATATCGAACGCGCCTTCTATATCCAGTGACACTACTGCAACTATAGCTTTATTCTTAAGCCCCTTCTTTATTAGGGCAATTGTATCATATAAGGCATCCTCAGTACTTCGTTGCGGAGTAAATCCGTATTGTCTATTATTCATTTTGCCTTCCCTTCCCAGTTGCCACTGGACCCTATTTACGAATAGTTTTTCCAGAACCTTACCTAGAACTGGTAGTAACCCGATTGGTCTATAGGATTTTACCAGGGAGTAGTCTTCTTTGCTGGGCTTGGGGATAACCTTAATTGTTGCTTGCTTCCAAATTTTTGGGAAGTAGCCTAATATTAAGCATTTATTGTATATTGATTGCAGGACTTCCGGGTTGCTTTCAAATGCAGCTTGACATATGTCAGATGTTAAGCCATCTGCTCCTGGAGCTTTTTTCGGACTCATATTTTTGAAAATTTCTCTTATTTCTAATTCTGTAAACGACTTGGTTGTTGATATGTCTTCGTTTTTAAGTTTGTTTATTATTTGTTGTATTTCAGTC